GAAGTTAAACAAATAATGTTTAATGGAATTAAATCGTATTTACTAAATATATATTATACTATGACTGACTATAATGATTCAATTGTGTACCTATAATAGCTAATGATAATTACAAACAAATTATCGTATAATAATAATAGTAATAATAATAATATGTTTTTATTGCAACAAAATAAAATTTGATTTGAAATGTATAAAACGAAATTTAAAATAGTTTCAAGCCCATCCAAAAAACAGAAAACTGAACTGTATAATGTCACAGGTGGGGTGAATCCGAGGAACATTAAACAATAACAATAATAATAATAATAATAATAAATTATTATTATAGGTACTTCCAGGTGAATTTAGTGAAATTACCGTTTAATAAATAAATACCTAGATGATCTATCTGTCTATTTTTATAATTAAATTTAAATCCAACTCAAATTAAATTACAAAGCCTTTAGCTTTTAATTACAAATTATAAAAAGGAGTTTTATAAAATATGTTAAATTAAAAACCTTCACATAAACAATTACATTAAGCATTTATACAAAATATTATTATTCAAAGTAAAATAAAACGCCGTATTATTTTTTATTTGTACCGACATTTTCTGCACCTTATTATAACACTTCAATTTTTGAATCCACATAACATGTCAAACAGTTTGAACTCACATCTACCTACTAATTTTATGCGAGGTCAACTGTTTAAAGTTTTCTTATTAATTTAAAAAACAACCATAATAAATACGATAGTATGAATACATCACATCACGAATATAATATTTACTATATTATACCATATATTACTCTTTATAGATGCAGTTGTAGTACAATTTTTCAACCGAAATGGAAGACAATAAAACAGAAAACTCAACAATAATTACCTATTGTAAGGTTGAAAAAGGTAAAAAATATTATTATAGCAGTACCTACTCTTTGACATGTTAAGTGATGCCTATTATTTTCTTAAATAATAAATGAAAATAAAATAAATTGTTCTATTTTCAACAAAGTAATGCACTTACCTATATAGGAGTTGTACACTGGTTGCCCAGTATACTGTATAGGTACTCACTCCCTGCCCAACTCAACAAACTATACTCATTTAAATACTCAATAAAAATGCGTTATTCAACATTTCAAAAATTAGCATAATATTTAGCTTTGAAAATTGAACACCCCAGACACTTAAGAAAAGCAAAACCAAATATTGTAATTTGTTTATATTAAGCTTAATTGGTCGTCGTACCAGCAGGTGTTGTATCGTACTGTTGACTGTTGTCTCTGCTTTTTACACGAGTAACATAACAAATCTACACACTGGATTTTTACTATAGCTAAAGCTAATAGTTAATACTAGAGATAAAGTACAGGTTAATATTGTAGCAAATTTACGTATAATTGAGTTTGAGAAGAATATGAACTGTTTACTCGAGCTATGAGTTTTTTTCATATTTTTATTTTATTATGGTTTATAAGTACCATAATATTTTTAAATTTTAAATTCATGTAATTAATTTTGAAAAGAAATATATGACAAAGAACTATTTGCTCGAGCACAGACTACATTCTCTCCTACAAATTCAATAATCTGTCAATGTTTGATCTTAAATTAACTTTAAATGAGCTATAGAAAGAATTCGATTCACAGATTTCCACGTTACCTATGTTATGTTTTGTATAAGACAGAATAACAACCCAATACGCGGGTACGACAAAGAAACAAAGTAAACAAAAAATTATTATATGAGTAATAATATTATAATGAAAGCGATTAGTAACTTTCTATTTCCGTAAAAATATAAAATGTATTAATAAACTAATAAATTAACAAGGACAACACGGTGAGACACCCTATACCTATAATAACGAAAATAAATATTAGATAATAAGCACAAATCTTATAGTACTACGTTTGCCATTAAAGTAGGTATAATAGGTATTAAGGTCTAAAATAATATTATGTACCTATTATGAAACGCAAGCTTATTATTTTTTTATTTGTATTTCAATTATTTAGATAGAATAATCACGTGTGATATCAAAAATGAATACATATATGATATTACTCTACACAGGTACATTTAAAAAGTCCAATAATTATTAAAATGTGCTGCACGTGGAAAATAATATGCGGGGATAATTAAATATTATTCCTACCTGAGTGTCCACCTATTAACCTATAATATCGCAGTCCGAGACGACGAGACTACCAGAGTGATCAAGATTACCAATATAATCATTAAATTATATATAAATGTATAATGAAACACAGATTTTAAATTGAAAACTGATACCTACTTGTTAAAAATATGTAAATAACCATGTAGATTATATTATATGTACCTATATTATCATAAACCTCTACTGATATATTATTATGATCTATCATGCATAAAACAAATTATTTACCAATTGTTATTACTTATTAGTTAAAAATGATTTTAAATTTCATGAAATAATAGATAATATACAAAAAGAGCTACTAATAAGATATTGCACTTACACTTATAGGAAGAGTTGTTCAATGTTTAAAGAATCAATTCTGAGCTGAACTAGGCTTATTCAAAATGTTAAGGCCCCCTGCTCTTCATTGTGCGGTATAAAATATCTAATATATCTATATGCGATTTATTAACATAACAAATTCACCAAACTTCTAAACAATACATTTTTTTCTTTTTTTTAGAACCTATCAACAACTTGATTATTAACTTGATGCCTTGATGTGAAATATTTTAACAATTAATACAATTTTAAGGTTCATCTGCAAAACATATATGTATCATATTATATAATTTTAATTATAGCCTTAAAAGTACCTCTTCAAATATTCAATATTTATATAATATAATTGACATAAATGGACATCGATAAAAAATTAGGACTATTTCGGGTATCATTCATATTAATTTCAATGGGGAAATCTGTTATTTTTGTACGGATATACACAGGGTATTATTATTTATTATTATACACATTGGTACGTATAGGCGGGTATACGCCGTAAACCCGTCGGCCGATTTTCGATTTTCGGCGTATACCCAATGTAAATGATCATTATACATTTATACGGGTATACACTCCTAAAATAACTAGAAAACTTATTAAAAACTTTATTTAATAAAAATAAAACTTATTTAATAGTTCATAGGGAAAAATTGTTATGATGTATTAATGAATTAATATCTGATGACTATTAAAGATAGTACTGTATACGCTGTGTAATGCATTTTAAGTTTGCATTTTGGTAACCATTGATGCTATTAAGTGTTAATCAGGCATGGGCCATTTGAATAATTTATTATTTATAGATTTATTGTCATTGCAATAATGGGTATTTTCCCTCTGGAATTTTGCCGTACGAGTTTACGGTTTATCGTAATATCGTTTGACAATAAGGACCGACTGCTCACTGTTGATGGTTGTGTAAAAGTAAGTTTTATATTTTCTAAAATTTAAGTATTGAACTTTTAAGAGACTACAAGTGTGTAAAATGACTAAAATGTATAACCCGTAGGTACAGTGTATCTTGACCACTAGTGTTCGTTTTAATTTTGAAATTCTTTATTACTTATTACTTACTCCTAAGTCCTAATTTACTTACATTTTGAAAACTGAATGGTCAATATTTTGTGGTAACATCATTGGCAATAGCTTGCAATAATTACACGCATGTAGTTTGTTAATGTTTAAAGATTTATATTATTTGAATTAAGATAAGTTCCAATAAACGAAAGGAATCAAAAATCACCCCAAAAATAACAATTTTTTTTTGCTCCATACCTAAGAAAACAAAGACGAATACTACGAAAGTAACCTAACCTACAAAAGTAACGAGTACTTCAAAAAATAAAAATGTGAGATATAAAAAATTAACAATATTATGCTCAGTTAAATCCTTGTTAAATCTATTTGGCTTTTGGTACCAATGTATCATATGGCTTACTAAATTCTAATTCGAATAAATGTAGTAGGTATAATGTTATCTATTATACATTTTAATGAAAAAAAAACATATAATATAACTATGTAAGTAATAGCCAATAGGTTAATAGGTAATATAATAATATCATCTATAATATTATTTTATTCACTATTCAATTTAGCCGTATGCCCGTATACTCTACCTATAGGTAATATTATTATGTATGGTAAATAATAATATAAATATTTAATACATATTGTAAGTTAAGGTTTCTTTTATCATAATGAAATATTTGATGATAAAAAGATTTAAATACTGAAGTTAGTTTTTCGGAGCGTAGCGATAAAATTTTTTTTAGGGTACATACAAATTTTATCAGTGCGTATACCCTTAAATAAATTTACCAATACACTGGGCACTGGTTATATATAAATGAGTGAAATGACTATACGTCTATGCGTAACAATTACCTACCTATCTAAGTATTGTCTGGTTAGGATTATAATATTGTATGTACCTACCTAACTACATGTGGTTTGAGATTTCGTCTGAGGAGCATCATATTTTAATGTCAGTTATTCGCCATTATTCAACAGATTTATCGTCTCAAAAGGTCGACTTGGCAATCTAGTAGGTGGTACCTACCTAACCTAACCTGCCTATATAGGAATTACATAATTTAAAATTATCCTACCTACCCCGCTCTAAAGTATAACCTATGATCTATTCGAATCGTTTACGAAACCACTTAAATGTTAGGAAAAGCGTCGTCAGCGACTCGAGCTGTCTGGTCACTTGATCTTCGAATTATATAAACAGAAGGTACCTACATTTTAATTATTACTTTATTGGTCATTTATTTATTTCACTACCTACCTAAGAACAGGCAAAATATAGGGTTTTAATGAATTTTTCGTGCAATATTAGCGTATCAATTTTGATTGGAACTGGTTTACTTGTTAAATAATACATATTATTATTATAACTGTATGTTTTTTCAGCTGTTTACTCGTGTCTGCTGAGGCCGCGGACGTAGTGTTTCTGATCACTAAGAATAACGTGTTTTGTGTTTCTTGTTTTAGCGGTTTTGTATTGTTCTGTGATTAACAATCGGTGGTGACCTTAACGAGCCAGACGCCAGAGGCTAAACACAGTAACGATTTGAACGCCCCACCGCCAAAACTCTCAGCTAGATGGAGCCACTGTCACTATATTATCATAGAATCATTCGATCTACTATCAACGTTGCGTTTGGCGCCAAAATTGCACAAAGTAGCTGATACACGAATGCGTACGTATCATCGAAAATCAAATTCTGTAAAATAATAAAACGATCATATACAATAATATGTTTTGGTATTATCGATAAACGGTAGTAATAATTAGTTTATTCATTGTTCCACGATAGTTGGTATATTAACAAAATATTAGTTATCATATGAAGTTAAGTAAATAGGTGATGCGCATGTTTTTACGATTTTTTACTGACGTCTGACACAGCAGCTGCAGCTAACGTTGTACTGCTTACTTCGATTTGAAAAGTGGTCTGCGTGCGATGTCCGGCGATATGAACTCCAACGACGATGATCTAAAAGCTTTGGCTCTGTTCTTGGAGGCTGAAGTTGATGGTGATCCGAGAACTGCAGAAAAAATCATAGAACCCAAAGAGGGTAAGTGCATTACATCCTATCGATTAGTTTAGGTACCTATTCTCAACGGTATCGGGTTACTATAGTAATATGTTGTTTTTAATCACTCGTTCCGTTCTGTTTTTGTAGATGTTATAAAGGACAACACTGACAACGGTAGTCTACTGCCTGAAAATTCTGGAAAAGCAAATGGAACATTTAGTGACTTTTTCAAATCAATGAAGTCGAAAATCGTTGATTTGGATGAAGAGGTAGTTAAATGTGAACCAAAGAAGAAGTCAATACCCAAAATACCGAAATTTGGTTTTGATCCCTTAGCAGACCCTGTGTTTGGTTTACGTATAATCAATCCGTTGTTGTCATCTCAGACAATTCAAGACAGAATGATTGGTAAAGTGCCGGTGCCTGTTGGCCGAGTGAAAACACATCTGAAGTCTGCAGACGATTCTGATTGGGTTGTAGCCGGCGTTTTGGTAAACAAATCTCTCCCAAAGACTTCACAAAAAGGTATTTACTACCTTACTTATGGTTTGATTTTTACAATTTTTACTTAAATACTCTTATATTTGTAGGTTCTACTTTTAGCATATGGAAAATAAGTGACTTAAAACCAGGTTTAATGAGCACTGTTACAATATTTTTATTTGGCCGCTCACATGCTGACTTGTGGAAAACAGACATAGGATCTGTAGTTGGAATACTAAATCCAAAAGGTGAGACAATATTGACTAATGATTTTTATAACTAATCATTGACTCAAATGCAAATTATGTTTTACTCTACAATTGATAAATCATATCTTTATGTTAAATGCGTCAGGTATTCCATTTTGTTGTTTTGATTATAATTTAGTGTTTCATGTTGTAAGTTCTTAATAATTAATTTATTTAAATTGATACTCAATAAACTAAATTCTTTTTAACAAGAGAACTCAAAACCCCTTGCTAATATTCCGTAAAGAGGGGTCTACTGTAGTATGTAAAAAGTGGGTAATAAGATACTAATTGAATCATTGCAGTATCTATTTCAACCAAGTATACCTGGTTAGTAAGACTTAGAAGTTGAGTATTATTTTATATCCTTTCGATTTATTGTATACCAAGTTAAAAAATCTATTCTATACAATGGCGTGTAAAATCCAAAATTTTAAATGCATATTTTGATGTATTTAGTAGGTTTCAGAAAAAATGTGCCCTTTCAAATTGTATGCCTTAAGTATTTAATTTTTGTATAGAATTACACAAATATTGAAAATATACTTTTATTAATACTATTTAGTACTTAGATATTGATAATATGTTTTCAGTTCAACAATTAACATTGCAACCAATTTTCCACAGTCCACACATTAGATCTTTCTTTTAAATATTAAATTTATTTAACAAATCAATTTTAAATAAAATACCTAATTTACTAACAATACAGCAATTTTAATGAATAAAATAGTTAGAAATTAGAATTAATAAAATATTTTAAAGATTTTGAATAAAATTGTTTGCATGTTTAAGAAACTTCAGATTTTTTTGGGTATATTTTGTATATTTTAGGTCCTATAACTTTCGAGTATTATCAATTAATTGTAATATATTATTATTTTATTTCCTTAAATAGAAATGGATGGTAAAGACAAGAAGGATGAAATAGCATTATCCATTAATAGTGGTGATCAAGTGATGTTGTGGGGTAAATCCAAAGATTATGGAACTTGTAAAGGAACTAAGAAAAATGGAGACAAGTGTGATATGTTTGTTAACATTAGTAACTGTGATGTTTGTACATATCATGTAAAACGAGAATATATCAAGCATTGTAGCCAAAGAGCAAATATTGGAAATTCTAGACCAACAGCAGCCCACAGCTTACGAGATAAAGTTTGTTGTTTTACTTGATATTTAAAATGTATTGGTTTTATTCATTGTTTGTGATTATTATTATTGTTATTATGATAGGTATTGGGCAAAAATGAGGTGTTTTATGGTGGTCAAAGTTTTGTGTCTACTAAATCTAATCATTCAAAATTAATGAAAGAAGACCAAGTGAAGCTTCAACGATTGAAATCTACCAAAACGCCTACATTAGGCCCAATTGAAACTCTTACCACCGCACCTCGTGCTACTATTGCTAATCGTCGAGCTACTGCTATTAAAGACTTTGTTAATGATTTAAAAACCAATGAAATTAGTGGTTCAGGAAAAAAGAATATTGATCATAAAGAAATTCCAAAAATGTGTACATTCAAAGACATATTAGGTAGCTCATCAAACCTTAAAAATTTTGGATCCATGCGCTCAAAATGTGCCAAAGCTAATGCATTGAATTTTATTAAATCAAATGGGACAATCCAAAAAGAGAATCCCCATTTATTTGAAAAAAGTAAAGGTGGTAAAAAAAGAAAATTGCCCGAAGATATTGTTTTAGATTTAGGCATAGAAAAAAAAGCTGCTGTTGAAGAAAAAGTTTCATCAAGATTTTTGGAACTTATGAAAGCTACTTCTCAGAACCAAGACCTTATTGATACAGCTCAGCAAGAAGCTGAAGACAAATATTTTGATCAGATGGATAAAAAGGAAAAAATGGAATACAAAATGATGAATACGTACAAGGTGCCTTGCAAAGCTGTACGTTGTATGGTGTGCAAATATACTTGGTTTTCAGCATCCGAATGGTGTAAAACTGAAAAACATGCATTGCGTGTAATGGATGCTACTAAAAGATTTTTCAAATGCAATGATTGCAACTCAAGAATCGCTTGTTTGACAATGTTCCCTATGATTTCGTGCAAAAATTGCAATGGTTCCAAATGGGAACGAGCACCGATGATGGGTCACAAAAAGGTTGATGAAGTCCATTTGAGTATTCGTGGAGATGAACAAACATTCTTGAGCTCTATGCAACCAAAACTTAGTATGGGCTTAATGGTAGCAGAAGAAGATTGATTTGTGATCATTTGCTTCACATTTTCTTTGTAAATATATTTGTACTTAATGTAATTAATAATTAATTGTTTGGTAGTTACTAGAATTTTAATATTAAAAACTAACCAATTTTATATAAACCAAAGTATTATTTGTATGATATATTGGCATACTAGTAATATTGTTTTTATCTTTGGAACTTTAAATGTCTGTATTAATTTTAAAGCCTTTTCTTTATTAATTTCTCATCTTCAATAAATTTAATTAATTGTTAAGACTTAACTAATTTTTATCTCTGTATTTTAGTTTAAGAGTGTCTGAGAAGGTGATAATCAAATTATATTATTAATTAGATTATTATCATGCAATATACACAAAACTATTAACCGTGTGTAAAATAACTATAATTTGTGATACCATTTGTTATATGCAGATTTTGAAACAAATAACTGATTTTTAATTGTTTTAATTGCAGTTAAAATATTTGTAATTATATTAATTTTAAAAATGAAAAACCTTACTAGCTGTTTTTCATATTAATTGTACTTTTTAACAAAATCTGATATTATACCTATGATTTTTAATTTTATAAGTCGCTTTATTGTCTATATCTAATTATCAACTCATGTTCATTTTTGATATTAGATTTAGGTTTTATAATTCTTAAAATTATTAGTCAACAGCAGATACTTTTTATTTTCCATCTTTTAAAATTGTCTTGTAGAACAAATGCTCTAATATCAACTTCAATAGAGATTTTTGGTAACAAATTTTATTTAGTTGGTACTTTTGGGAGCCTCCCTGGTTATAGTTGAAAGTTCCATAAATGTATATACTAATAAATATGTACTGTGTTATAGATCTGTGGAAAATTCTCAGTACTTTTTGAAATAATCTCGGAAAAAAAATATTTATTCAAATTTAAATATTATCGTTGAAATAATTATTGTTTGGTTACCAAATAGTAAGACTGTATTAAATTTTTTTTCTTGCCAAATCAGAAAGTTTGAAAATTAAATGAATAAGTTGCAACTACTGGTCTCAAAAACAAGTTGACCGTAAATCAACATTAATTTTTTACGAGCGTTTAAAGTTACATTTTATGTCGAAATTTCCGTTTTTCCGTAATTTCTTTTTATGTTTTCGAATTATTAAAAAACGTACTCGGAAAAAAAATGACTTGATATATGGTAAATATATACTATTAAAATTGATAAATATTAATGATATGATTACATATATTTGTCATACAATCACGGCGTTGTAGATAGGCTATTTAAGTTACACCCAGATATACACTGCAGTGATAAATTCCACTACCCAATATTGTGAAATTACCCAAAGATTCCTCGTCGTATTTAAATTTAAACAATTAAGTGTCCATGTTTTCATATGCCTATAGAATTTTGACGTCATGGCTAATGACTAATTAAATCAAGTATCACCGACACTATTGGGTTGTGGCTTCTAAACATGCGTGTTTCATTTTATTGTTTCCGTCACATATTATTATCCTTTTGGTGCTAAAAAGTGCGGACTGTAACCTGCAGGTCTCTAAACTATCTTAATGTCAACAAAACAAAAAAATACTAATTAATAATAAATCGAAAACGACTTCCGACGCGAAACAGAAAACGTCAACCGCTTTGAGCGTAATATTTCGCAATATTATATTCGTTTATTATAATGAATAGGGTTAGGGACTCATAGGAGTTCGCATATTTTTCAATAATCGTGTTCTAAACATAGCAAGTGATATAAAAATGTGTTTCGTTCAGAAGTTTAAAGTAATCGTTTTTATTTTGCATATTCAGCGATTTTTTCCCCATAAGAGCATATTTTGTTATATTTCTATTTTACGAGCATTTTTCACATATCTTATTAAAATTAAAACAATACTCGGCAGGAAATAATATTTTATACATACGCAGGTACTATACCACATTTAATATGAATTTGCTAGAAATTGGAAAAAGTAGATAAAAATAAATATAAATTATAATCTATATATACCGTGTGTGCGTACTATGTTTTCCCAATTATTTGTGTGTCGTTCGTGTCGGTCGATAAGGAATACGCCAAAACCGGTCAGTTGATGACAATTCGTCTATTCGTTCGTATCGTCTTGCGCCACTGTAGTTTGTTCGGATAGTTTTTTTTTTGAAAATTAAATTAAAAATGCCTAAAGTAAAAACAAATACATGTAGTCGCCTACAGTCATTTGTTTCGGGTAGTTTTGTTTTTTATAATTGATAAATCAGTACTATTTTGTAAACTTTGTGAAGTTAAATTTAATGCCTCAAAAATGTTTTACCGTGTTACAACATCATAAAACCTAAAAACATATCAGGTCAGTTAACCGCATCGATAAGCCAAAAAAGAGTCAACAACTTCTTGAATTTAATCTGCCAACTGAAAAATGTCAGTTAAACAAAGATTTATGTGAAGCTATGTTATTTGCTACCTAATATTCCTTTATGCAAATTAGAAAACATACAATGTAGAGCATTTTTACGAGAGTACACTGGAAAAGAAATCCCAAAGGAAGCTACTCTTCGTAAAGGTTACGTTGATGCCTGTTGCAAAGATACTTGAGAAAAAAATACGAAATCAAATAACAAAATATGGGTATTTATTGACGGGACGACCGACGTCGAAGGCCTCTTCGTAGCAAATGTTATTACAGAAGTTTTACTAACTGACGGACCGGTTGAGATATTTTTGTTAAATACAGAAGAATTACAAAAAGCAAACCATCAGACCAGATCATCTAACTACAAGTTTAGTAAGACTCAGTTGGCGAGTAATGACGTCAAAAATAAGATAAAAAAGCCACGACGCTGATGAAAACGTTGTCTTGTACACAGTTTGGACGTTTGGTAAGTCTGCTTTAAATATTATACTCGTAATTTTTTCCGCCATGATATCATTTTCAACGTAATTTCGTTATCACGCAACATCCATTGTTGGTATTGGCGGCTGATATTAGCTAGTGTTTAAAGTATGTTTATATATTATTAAATAGGAAGTCTTCTCGGAAAAAAACATTGTAATTGCCTATACCGAACTCCTTTAAAAGTGGTAGATATTATTATAATAATACGTTCTCCAAAAAAGTAAAACTGTTGGTGAATTTTATTATGATGTCTAGAAGGTCGTCGTGCGTGATTCGGTTAGTATGAGCATGCAGTGCACCAAGGTACATTTTATCGACCATTTACATTTTCAGAAACTAATAATACATGATAGGCGTAACAGAAATACAGAATCCGTTAATAAAAAAATGCACTTAGCTGTGATAGGTAGGTGTTAAGTCGATTTTTCAATGGCGTGTTACCGCTTACACATTTTAATCTCAATCGCAGAAAAAACGCACGCCAAGAACAAAGTATCTTTATTTATTATTTTTTTTTTTGGAAATTCTATATTTTATCGATCCATTTGTGCACGCATACTCTTTATAAACATGTTCATAACGACACATAATGTGAGATACGCCCTGCCGCAGTAGTATGTGACGGGGGTATTAGTACCTATAGGACAAACCTCTACGAAAAAAAAATTATAAAATTGGTAATTCATCGTTTCGTCGTATTATTTTGTAATAAAAATAATAATAATTCGAACGGAACACCGACGCGCAGCAATTTATGACCCGTGGGGGGGGGGAAGTTCTGTCTACGTGTACATGTATATAGTGATAGTGACGTGCCTATACGACAAAAAAACGAATTAACCGTCACCATAATAATGGTCGCACCGGATATTCGTGGCAACTGGCAGCGGTACACACGACTATTTGTCTTAAAAAATATATTATTATGATAGAACCCACGGTGCCGTGAAAAAACGACGATTGGGTGACAGAAAACCGCAGGCCGCGTTTATTGGTTTTTGTGCTTGTTATTATCCTCCAAACGAATTCGATTCGCATCGGCTGTTGTTTTTTTCATTTTTCAAACTATATAATATTCCTCTGTTGTTCGCGTACATAAAAATAATGTTTTTTAAAAAAAGTATACGACTCGCACACGATATATTATTATTATTATCATCGCCCGCGGAGGTGCATTAAATATGCCACCTCCAGCCGCCTTACGTACATATATATATATATTTCGTTCGTATTTCATATAATATATCATAAGGTAGGCTCCTATATATATATATATAAGGTATTCCCGGTCGCGGGGCAATCGCCTGCACAGCACCGTATTTCTAATACTTTCTATTACAACGAACGACATCCACGTAAGTCCTCGGGAGGCAGTGCTCTCGAACGGGACGACGAATGCCCCCCGTAATAATATATCATTTTTACAAATGGAAAAATGTTTCGGATGGGTGTTGTAAGAGTAAATTAAATGTGAGTCGAGGAAAAAAAATCAACCATCCACCGCGCCGCATGATAATATATATGCTTATATAGGTATCTCTATATCCGAGATTTCCGCGATGCTGAGCAGGGTCGCTGTATCTCTAGCACGTTTAATATCAAAATTAGTAATCACGTGGTTATTGTTTATATATTTTGGAAATCATTGTAAGAACTCGGGTATACAATACGCCACATACTTACCTGAATTTTTTTACATAATGTGCATAAAAATATCACATATCGAAGAAGCATTCAAAGAAACTTAAATTTAAGCAAAAATATTTGTTCAAAAAAAAAAAACTAAAAATCAAAACATAAATGAATAAATCTTTATAACAAAAAAATTAAATATTCCACAACGTAGACAAGATAAGAATTATTTTTATATTTAATTCAATCAAAAACGACTGCAGGAGAAAACCACAAAAAAGTAGAAAAAATGGTAAAAAAAGCCAAAATAATCAGAAAAACTGAAGATACGCATTTTTTTGAAAACTCGCTGAAAAAACCAAAATAAAGCACTTTCAAATTTCATAATTAAACGTGTTGTTACATGACACACGTGTCTACGGCACTCAGCTACATTTTAAGTCGATCTATAAAAATGAGCTAATGCTTTAAGTCCCGAACCCATTTTATCATATATATAAAACGATATGATATAATATATAATGACACGATGACATTTAATATCGAATGAAACAATACGACGACGACGACACTGGAAGAAAATAAAACTTTCGCGATAGTCCTATTCTCGTC